AGAAGCCTGATCAAGTACTATTGTCGTGAAACTGTAGCTAGCGCAAACCTCATATGTGAATGGGAGAGATCCCAATGTAGAGTGGGTGTGGGTGCCATAGATATGATACACTCACATCAACACTCACCCTCAAAGAGAAAGAATGAACTCATCCAAAATATATTTGTATATATCTGTTTGTTTTTAAAAACACTTATCTTATTGGAAAGAATTTGTCAATTATATCATTTTCATATTCTGATTCATACTTCGATCGAACAGTTACATCTAAATGTCAATCTATTATATTACACCATTTATGCGTATTGAAATAAAATGAAAATCATTACTTAGAATCTAGTTTATCTTATAATCATATTAACGATTTTTTCATATATGAAATGTAGAGAAAATAAAATAAAAAATATATTGAGTGCATGATAAAAGATCTAGCGTTTTCTACAGAGTTCTAAAAAAGTTTATCTTTACAAACAAAAACTTCTTACTCTTATCTTTCTATCAATTGTGTCTGACTGGGTAAGAGAAAAAAGTAAAAATTTTATTTTAAGTGGGACTAATAGTAAAACGATATAGAATACAAATCTAATAATGAATTATGTAGTAATCTGTATATTTTATTTATTTTCTTTTGTTAAAATTTCTCTAAAATAAAAATATTTATCTTGTATTTAATAAATGAATTAAAGGTTTCGAGAATAAAATCTATTATTTATTGAATAATTCAATGACGATCTATCATTTTATGAAAATTAATAGAAAATCGTAATATTATATTTGACAAAATAAAATAAAATTGAAAATGAAAAGAGTTTTATTAAAAAAACGTATTAAGAAATCTAATTATAATTTGTTTTTGAAGGTTAAATAGAAATTCTATGAAAGAATAATAACAAGTACTATTTTACATTATTTTATTTTTACGTATAAATAATCTTCTTATTCAATTTTGATGCGTGTCAATCTTATGTATTAATTTGTAAATATTAAAAAATGACTTAATATCGAAATAATTCTCGGTATTACAAATCAAAACATAAAAATCACTTCTTTTTTATTCATATGTTTTATTCATATCTTTGGATCTTATTTGTTTTTCTATACAATCGAATTTTTAAATAAAAAAAAAGCTATTATTTATTTAAATTGAAATCAAGATAGATTTAATGATGTAGATCCTCCAATAAAAAGTCAAGTCTCGTTGATTATCAAATTGGAATTTTGTTTGTTAAGTATATCTTATTGAATATTCTATTCATAATTTAAAATAATCTCTGCTCACGTGGTTTATAAACTAGTTTTTGATATAAAAAAAAACCTATCTTATTCTTATCTTTTATATGAAATACAACAAATAAAAAAGTATCTCTTGTACCTTTTATTCCAAGAAAAAAATTATGGTAAAAATTCCTATGTTTTCAGTTTCTTATCTTCTTTATTAACTCGATTTTTAAAGTTATAAGAAAAAAACAAGTATATTGAGTTATGATCGTATAATATAAAATGTAGATCTAGTTCAAGGTATTTGTGTGACCTTTATTAATATTTATTTCTTAACATACATTTATCTCTGTAAATAGCGTATACGAAATTCTTATATTAAATCTTATCAGACAAAATTCATTAGTCGCTGTAATGTCGTACAACTTTTTGATAACAACAAAAAAACAAGATTTTTTTTCTTGTTGTTAAAGAATATTTCATTATATTTTCTATTATATATAAGTCAAAAGTCGAAACATATCTAACTGGATATATTCTAAAAGAAAAGAAAATGACTCTCAAAAATCAAAACACCACTTCTTGTCGATTGTGAATATGAATTGTACGGTGATGAACCTATTTTTGATCCTGATATTCGTTTATGTTTAACTGAACCTGATTGTGTTGCATTACTTGATGGGTTTGAACGTGTTCAAAAAGCGCCACAACTGGATAAACCAGTATCACCAAGTGGAGAGAGTCAAATAGCTTATACTGGACCATTTCAAGTATTGAGTGATGAAGGATATCATGTATTAAAATTAATAATGAAACGTGAAACGGATCATCAGATATCCGATCCACGTCATCCAGCATTGATTCGTTTTGGTGGTTATCGTAGTAAATGGTTACAAGATTTTAATCGATGTCCACGTGTTCTTCAACATTTATCAAATATAACTGGTGATGTTGAACTTATACCAAAAACTTTACAATCAAATTATAGTCATACAAATATTGGATATGCAAAATATGACTACTGTTGATCATTTTCATCGTGATAGTGTACCCTATGTATTAATTTTATTAGCATCTGACATGACAAATACAATTGGAGGAGAATTACAACTTATTGAATGTCAACATGAAGAAGCTTTGCGTTTAATTGAACAATATGAAGGACAAGTTCCAAAAGAATTTATTCGATCAATTGATTATCTTGGTTCTAATTCATGTGTATTTATGCAAGGTAAATTATTAAATATTTATTTTATATAATCATATATATATTACTTTTTTGTAGGTTGTCGTACTGTTCATGAAGTAACAGGTATTGAATCTTGTGCAGAACCTCGAATTACTGTTGTTAATTCTTATATGTCGTCGAATCCATTTGTTGTTGATCATACACGATATGATACATTTCGAAAAGAAAAAACAGGTGCATTAGAATTTGCAATGCATAAAATGTGGCGCTCATATTCACAAATACATGATCTTGAATCGGGTAAACCATCTTGAGGGTGTGCGTGTGAGGCACGAATAGACGAAGACACCCTCACCATTGCATGTAGTGTATAGTGTGAAACAATGTGCACTGATGAATTAGTTGATGAATATATTAAGAAAAAAGCACTGGAAGAATCGAGCAGAAAAACATTTTTCTCCGTCTCCTACTTTCATTCTAAACTGTGATTAAGATATATTTTATTTTTAAAATTGTTGTTCATTAGAATAAAAAACTTAAATAAACTAAGGATGTCAAATGTTAAATAACTACAATTATTGTTAAAGAATAAGAATTTTGATAGATAATAAAGGTATGTTTTTATAAACTCCATGCTCCAGATCCTCCGTTGACTTTGCCTTCAATATTTTTTGTTTTCCATCCTCCATAAAAGTCACCTGGTTGTGCTTCAACCTTCTCTTCATTGACATAGCAATCCCATGGTCCAACATAAAAACTAAAATAATCTTTTACATCGCCATACTTTCCATTAGTTCCACTTGGATTACCATACGACCATATTCGTGAAGTTACAACCGGCTGACCATCAGGTGGATTGAAGTCATAATATGATGCTAAACCTTTATATTCGCAGTACGTTGATTTGGTGTTATGTTTGAGATATTCTTGTTTGACATCTTTCGGAGGAATATAATATGTCGGAGGATGACCTGTTTCTAAGATGCGTAATGCACTGGTTGTATCAGCCAGTACCACATCGTTATAGATAACTCTAAGATGTGCTTGGACTGGTTCAATGGCAGGTGGACGTGGATAATCCCAGACATTTTCTTTAGGAAGATTACTAACCATACTTGCAGTGCTAAAGAAGAAGAAGAAAAAGAAACTGTTTTGAAAGAAATGAGAAATTATGATATTTTCCTGATTAACTTACTTCTGAATGAAATTTAAAATTTTCTTTATTAATATAAAGTATAAATCCACCGATCTTGAATTATATTCTACAGCACAATAACGTTTCTATCTATGAAAAAGGTAGTGTATCCAGACAATCTATATTATATAATAAATAGACTACAATATAAAAAATGATTCATCTTATTTGTCACTTCTAAAAGAAACTTGACTAGCCAAAATTTGTTCGTCAAAAGGCTAACACATTAAGTGAAATCAAAATAAGATCAAAGATGATTTTCTGCTTACTCTTCTAGTGTTAAAATATTTATTTCCGCAACGGTAATCTCATCTCCGAGTTTTTCGTCAGAAAATTTGATTTATCGAATGTAGACACAACCAACTTAAGAAACAATAGCTTTTTTTATTTTCAGATAAAACAATTTGTCAAGCAGTCTAAAAGAACCGAAGAATCCTCTTGGTTTACGTTACTTGTATAGTAACTTACAAGGAAAAAAAGTTGTTATGAAACAAACGTTGACTGTAGCGAGAATGAGAGTTCTATGAAATAAACTTATTTTTATAGATGAGAAAAATATAGAAGCAATAGTAATACTAGGGGAAGAAGAGAGAAGACTGGTTGCAGATCTATGATATTATTCAGTAAGTGTTGTCTTCTAACTGAGAGAATAAGTTTTCTCTCTTTCTACCGTAGTTTTACATTTTTCATTTCAGTTGAATAATCAAAAATAATTGCTAGGAATATATTTTTTTTTATTTGACTCTTCTGTATCAATTAGTATTTGATAAAAAATATGCGGATTATAAATAGAATATCAAATAAACTATTCTGTTCAATGTCGTTCATTCAAAAAAATATTACTCTAGAAAACAGAAACTTAAAAAAAAATTTAAAATAGAAAACTCTGACAGTCATAGTTCTTCTAATATCCAACAAAATTTTCAAACGTTTTAAAAAAAACTTTCAAATTCTATGAATATATATTCATCTTGCAGAATATCTGTGAATTTTATCTGAAAAGTTCGAGGGAGGGATGTTTCCCTTTGTTGTTATTTCTTCATCTTATTCATTACAGATAATTTCTCCTTCGTTAGTTTTTCTTTTCTCTCGAAGACATACATGTGTTTCAACAGATTAGTGACAGGATAAAATAAATTTTTTAAGACATCTTATCTAATCCAAAAGGAAAATAGAAGTGTATGGAAATTTAGTTTGATAAAGAAAAATGCCATGAGAGAAATAGTAAATGAAAAGATGGAAAATAGTGAAATACAAAAAAGCAGGAGTTTAAAAGCTAAAGTTATATAAGACACAATCAAAGCAATAGGTACTCATGGCTTATTCACTTCTTTCTCTCAATTATTTTCATGTCATGATTTTTACAGTTTTTCATTGAGCGGAATAATCAAAAGTACTTTTTATTTCATTCCACTCCAGCAATTACTGTTTGATAAAAAAACGATGACTAGTGAATCAGACAAAGAACGTGTTTTTCTTCAAGGCTGTCTATTTTTAAATGAGCCATTGCACAATAAAAATAAGCAAGTAAGAAATGACGAAGCACTTTTCATGTTCACAATGATCTCTATAACAAAATGCTTCAAGGACAATCACAAGGTCTTGTCCAGGCACTAGAAAATATATATCACGATATTTTTGAAATAGACGTTCTAAAAACTATGTTTTAATCAATCTATTGAATTTGTACACGTTGAAGACGGTTTTCATTGATCATGTACGATCGGAAACACATCATTGCATTTAAAAAATGGCTATGATTCGAAGACTTTCATCATCTTGATGGGGTGGGTGTTGGTTGCTTTTCACTAACCCACACCCTCAAAATTGTTGTGGGGCAAAAACAAACAAATACTGTGATCATATTATTGTTACAGTTGCATTTAATCTTTAGGTATTTGTTGTTTTTTATGCAATGTAATTAATTTGTTCATGATTTCTTTTCGACACTCGAAAAATGAGATTATCCTTATTGATTATTGTGAACTTTTAGTCAAATATATTCATAAAAAAATATTGATATTTCTACAGCAAGTTGTTTTATGACAGTCTATTCTTCAACTGTTGGTGTGAAGTGTACTTCCTAATTGATAAAAGATAAATATCTCGGAGAATATGAAGTTTGAATCAATTTACGTAACAAGAGACTTATTTTTTCTTGAATTCTTTCTTGGATTGAATTAACTTGTGTTTCACTTGAAATCTTCACTTATCAACATAGAAATAGAGAGATGAATAAACAAAGAAGAGAACAATATACAATCTCGTCTTTGCATCACCATAACGTTTTTATTTACATACTCTGCTACCAACACATGGCCACTGACTGTATTAATAAGAACGAAAAAAAAAGTGGGCAATAATAAAAAACACGTTACTGTTTAATTTTTTGTTTGTTTGTTGTCAATGTATTACTTTTGTTGATCACCAATGGTCGTCATATTTGCATACTTTCAGATGAAGCCAAACATGAGCATGCGCACCATGAATCAATGCTTCTATCCAATTTCTTTTTTTTTTCGCTGCACGATTTTATGTTTTATAAGCAACATACACACATTTTTTAACGACAAAGAAAGAGGTTTTTGTCTTTGAAAGATCTTTGAAGATGTGCCAAACTGTGTAGTTCATAAACAAAAAGGATAAAAAAAACGAATGTATGTTGTATTCTTTTCATAGAAAATCTTCGCAGAGTACATATCGAACATTTCTAGTCGAAGGATGGTCAGATCGTCATAAGATCTCTCCTAAAGGCTCTCATTCTGGTGCAGACTAACGTTGTCAAAAATGACAAATAATAATATAAACCTAATTAAAATTTGCAATTTATGTTGTCAGTCGATCTATTTAAGCTATTGGAAAGTGTTCTTCTTTTTGCTTCATATTTGATGGCATTCGTTATTTTATCATCATGAAGAAAACAAAACTGAGATTTTGTTAGACAGCAGTCATATATTCATACATTTATATACAGATCAAGAAATATTATAATGATTCTAATTCATACTATTTGAAAGTTATAACTAATGGAAGAGGAAAAGTGATGTATGATTAAGTCGTTTTTTTTGTTTGTTGAAGAGGAAAGCACATTTTTAAAACTTCAAACTCTGCCATCTACATAATGATCACATGCAGGCTTTCAGTGGAAACCTAATTTTAACATCTTTTACATTTCATTTCTACTCATTATTGATCAAAAAACAAATTCTCAACTTATATGATTCAGCAAATAGTTGAGCATATAAAAAAATTTTCTCTTGCGATTATCAAATAACAAACATGACTCGACAATGTTTTTCGTGGATTATTTCGATGTTTGTTATTCATAGCAACATCATAAACAGTTAAAGAAAAAACATTTCAAAAGGAAGCAGAGACCTGTAAAACGGATCGATTTTGATCATTACTTCACTAGTAAATTCTATACAATAACTTCAATTCAAACCATTCACGCAGCAAACAATGGACAAAGGAAAATCAACAGCAAATGCATTTACAGTTCCAGAAGATGCAGATGGTCGTCAACGTATCAATCTTCAACACATGCAAAATGTTCTTCTAATCTGGTTAGACAACAATATTGACACAAACAATGACGATTGTCAAAATGCAATCACACAACTGCAATGGACTGTCAATGACATCAATATATTTATAGATGTTGATCAATGTCTCAAATTTATCGAAACAATTATCGATAAAAAGGTTTGTATGATCATACCTGGTTACTTTGGACAACATATTGTGCCTCGTGTGCACAATATGTCTCAAGTTGATTCAATATTTGTACTCTGCGGTAGCAAAGAACGCCATGAACAATGGGTCAAAAATTGGCCCAAAATAAAAGGTGTTTTCACAGATATTAAACCCATCTGTGAAGCACTCAAATTGACAGCTCATCAATGTGAGCAAAATGCCATTCCCATGAGTTTTGTGGGATCAAATAAAAATTTGGATCAATTAGATCCTTCTTTTATGTACACACAGATTCTCAAGGAGCTCATATTAATCATCAAATTCGACCAAAAGCACATCCAGGATTATCTGGATTACTGTCGCAATATTTTTACTGGTAATGAAAAAGAAATGATTAATATTAACAGTTTGAAAGATGAATACCACAAGAACACACCAATTTATTGGTACACCTGTGACATGTTTTTGTATCGCATGCTCAATCGTGCATTACGATTGATGGATGGCGATATTATTATACGTATGGGCTTCTTCATCGGTGATTTACATCGAGACATTGAACAGCTACATCAGAAACAACATACTGGTCCAACTGCTGCTGATTCGTCCCCCGTCTATCGAGGGCAAGTTTTATCTACAGAAGATTTTGGAAAAATGATGGAAAACAAAGGTGGTCTTATTTCTTTTAACTGTTTCTTGTCTACCAGTAAAGATCGCAATACATCAATGCGTTTTATTCAACAAACTACAATAAATCAAGATCAAATACGTGTCCTGTTTATTATGGAGATTAATCCTGCTCAATCAACAACACCATTTGCTTCAATTGCCGGTATCAGTGAGTTTGAGGAAGAGGAAGTGTTGTTTTCGATGCATAGCGTGTTTCGTATCCAAGATATTAAATCGACGGATGAAAATAATCTTTTATATGAAGTTAATTTAGTCCTGACTGCTGACAACGATCCAGAATTAAGCAGACTTACTAATTCCATTCGAAAAGAGAGTGATCCAGACCATGAAGAATGGTACCGATTGGGCTCGGTACTAATTAAAATGGGCCAATTTGGCAAAGCTCAAGATATTTATAACGATTTACTTAATGAAACAAAGGATGATAAAGACAAGGCAGATATTTATCATCAATTTGGTTCGATCGAGTATGGTCGAAAAAACTATCAAGAAGCACTGACATTCTATAAAAAATCGCTTGATATTAGGGAAAAGATTCTTCCTCCCAATCATCCCGATTTGGCTAAGTCCTACAACAATATTGGTGTAGTGCATAACACCATGGGTAATTATCCAGAAGCACTCTCTTATTATAAAAAAGTCTTTGAAATTGATCAACAATCACTCTCTCCCGATCATCCTGATTTGGCTAAGTCCTACAACAATATTGGTTTAGTGCATGCCAACATGCGTGATTACCCAAAAGCACTTTCATGTTACGAAAAAGCCCTTGGAATCAAACAGCAATCACTTCCTCACACTCATCCTAGTTTGGCTTCTTCCTGCAGCAACATTGGTATAGTGCATGCCAACATGCGCGATTATCCCAAAGCACTTTTATATCATGAAAAAGCCCTTGAAATTCAAAAACAATCACTTCCTCACAATCATCCTAGTTTGGCTCATTCCTACAACAACATTGGTGTAGTATATAAAATCATGGGCAATTATCCAGAAGCACTTTCTTATTATGAAAAAACGCTTGAAATTCAGCAACAATTACTTCCTCCCAATCATTCTGATTTGGCTATGTCCTACATCAACGTGGGCTTAGTGTATAAAAATATGGAGAATTATTCAAAAGCACTTTATTATTATGAAAAAGATCTTGAAATACAACAACAATTACTTCCTTCCTATCATCCTGATTTAGCTTCTTCCTACAACAACACTGGTTTAGTGCATGAAAAAATGGGTAATTACGAAAAAGCCCGTACATATTTTGAACATGCTATACAAATAGGGCAACAATCATTGCCTACAAATCAATCAACTCTACAACAACGACGAAAGAACCTTGAACGTGTAAAAAACAAATAATAAATTGTATTAATATAAATTTCTTTATGAAAGACAAAAAAAATAACCTATTCAAACAAGAAAATAATTGTTTTAAATGGGCTCGCGCACAGAGAAACTGATCTTATTGCGACACAAATGGATAGTAGCACCCATCGGGCAGGTAAACAATACACATCAGCATTTATGCATTGTGGAAAAAGACCTTCACGATTTATAGTTATCGTGTCTGAACGAGATAGAATATCTTTATGTTGGACGAGAAAGAAAAAAGCCACCTAACAGGTTGTTTAGTATCGCAGATAGAGAGAAACGAAAGACATGTATTTATTTAGTAGGACGAATGATTCTTTCTGATCCAATAGAAAGAATAATTCGTATGTATTGAATAAATAAATGGTTTCTATCGACATAGGTGTGCGTGAATGTTCAGTAGTTTGTTGTTTTAGAATATATAATGTTCTTTACCAATTAAATTCAATCCAAAAATCTGATCTCAAATATACAGTTTTTAGAGTAGTACGTATAACTTCATACTCTTAATCATTACCATCAGTAAACATTTAAATGTAGGATTTTTCTAATTACATTTTCTTCATTTCAAAGTGTAAATTATCAACATCACATTCTTTACTTAAATTGCATACTGTGTCTAATATAAATCGATTTGACAACAAAATTTTAAAAGATATTAATTTAATTTATTTATAAAATTATCAATAACAAATATATTATTATTCAGATCAACAGACAAAGGATATTGAAAAGAAATATGATGAAAATGCGATAAATCGCACAAGAAGAAAAAAAAATTCGTTGCGAGCAAAGAGAAAACAGGACTATACACAGAAAAAAAGAAGAAGAAGCAAATGTATAAAACCATAGAGAAGAGTTTGTGATATTTGAGAGAGAGAGAGAAAAAAAATACAATTGATATAGCATACAATTTGATTTATTTTCTATAGATCTGGATTTAAGCGCAGCCGATATGAAACAAACTGAAGATCGTTTATATGATAAGATAGAAAAAGAAAACAGAGAAGAACGAAAAAAAAAAACAAAATTTTTGGTAAAAAGCATATTAAAAAAACAAAGCGAAC